TGTTGAAGCACTTATAGAGGAAGGATAAGGAGCAGCATCATGAGAGGCACAAGTGTTTGAGAAGGTCGGGAAATTAGCAGAAGAGAACCTGAATGCTAGAGAGGAGGTAATGAAGGCCCAAAATAAGAGCACTAGAAAAGGTAATAAGAAGTGAAATAATAGTTTAACATTGTTATATTTTATTACTTTGTATTCTTATTTCATATTTTATGTTTGAAAATAGTTATCAAATTGTATTATTAAAAATTTTGACATTTCAAACTAATTGTATTATGATATTTAATTACTTTTCATGTACACTACTGGTTAATTACAATTAAAATGATACATATGCATTTTAGGAATTACAATACAATATGGAAATTAAAAAGATATATACATATTACAGTAATTACAGCACTAGTGACCTCTAAAATGGGTCACAAGGTGGTCACAAAATTAGTAACCCAATTATGACCCCACACATAGTTAGGATAATAAGTTTAATGGGGTCACTAATTAGTGACGGACTAGTGACAGAAAAATTGCAGTCATTGATTACTTACAGTATTCGCGGTTACTAAATGTGTTTCTAATTTTGTTAATAAAAAGGATCACTAAATAATCAATGATTGAAATTATTCGGTCACAAATAAGTGACCGAATGCTTCGGTCACTGATTAGTGATGGAAGGCTGCGGTCACTATTTAATGACCAAAGTGCAGATGGTCACTAATTAGTGACCAACTTACTATGCATAAAAGAATGAATTAATGACCCAACTAGTAACCAATTATAACAGTCATTAATTAGTGACCGATTTTTTTTATCACTAATTAGTGATCGCCTTGGACACAAAACTAATTAGTGACAAGGATTTTTCTGATCGACCATATCGGTCACAAACCTTTTGAATTTAGTGAGAGCATTGGTCACTAAATTCATTTTTTTCTAGTAGTGTAATAGAGGTAGAAAAGGAAACAAAAAAATGTTCAAACACAAAAATACTCTTTGTTACAAAGCTTTGAAAATTAAAAAAAAAAATTAACTTTTAATATATTCTCAACATATTAAAAAAATTAAAAAGTTAATTTTTTATTCTAATATTAAAATATCAAATCATATATAAATGTGTTTATATGTATATTTATAGTAAGTTATATATGTATATATTATTTTATATAAATATAATAAATTATGTAATATATATAATATAATATATCATATTATACAAATTGTTGTATGAAATATTTACACAATATATTAATATATAATATTATAAATATTTATAATGTTTTAAATCTATAAGATATTTTTATCATTTACTTAAAAAGTAAAGAGTATTATAATAATTATATACCTAATTGAGGATTTCATCAAGAGATGGAATCTAGATTTTCTAGGAAATAAAGATTTTCATTCAAAAATATCTACAAAATACATTTTTTCAAACTTCCAATTCCATTTCCATTCCCTCAATATGATTATATGGTATCATACACCACTTAAAGGGAAAATATTATTATGTAAATGATTTGTTTAGTTATTCTACCAGTTTGAGCAAATCAAAGGGAATATCTTCTTTGGAAAATTGAACTTGTGTATATAAGATATAAATTTATAAAATATAAAAAATTTATTTTCTTTCATTTTCACTTCTGTAAAGCATTGAACTCCAACAAAAATATAACCTTAATGTTGGAGCATTTTTACTCTTTTCTTGATGATATGTCTGAAAATATATAAACTAGTGGACATACTGCATTGAATAAAAGAAGAGGATATAATAAGGAAACTTTGCCCGGGTCTTGGAAAGCTCACGTAGGTGGTGAATATTCAAACTGATTATCCGTGAAGATCTTCGCTCCCTTGTATATATGCAAATCTTTATGACCAAAGCTCTGTACTCAATGCTGTCTTAAACCCCGCAATCTATGCTGATAACTATCTGAAACTAAAGGTTCTATCAATGGATAATAAACCTTGAAGTGATTTTAACTTGCTGGCCTTCATTGCACTTTTCATTCTTTTCGGCTAATTTGCGAAACATTTGACTCTTGCAAATGTCTAAAGTTTCCAGTATCCTTTGCAAGTCTAAGAGTTTTTTGATATAAATAACTTCATTCGTATGTGGATATATCCCGAAAATTAGTCCAAAAAGACTCAAACACATCTTATCCAGAAAGGCTTTGACCCATTTCAGAAACTACTTTATGCTAGGAATGGATTCTCACTTTCAAACTTAAAACCTAGACTCGAAGCTTTCCACCCACACTTCATTACCTCGCACCAAATGAATACGTCGGCCACAGATTTTTTTCCCCGTTTATATTTCACATTGGTCCTAATAATTCGAACTTTACACAAGTGTAAGGTAACGTGTGAGTTCAGAAAAACTCAATGCAGTGCTATTTAAAACTTTTTTAACTTAAGCACATGATCCAATAATGCTTAAACTCTAAGTTCACGCACTTAACAACAATATACAGTAATTGATCTGAAAATAGAACGTTATACCTTTAACATTTTTAACTGAAAATAAGGTAAGAGCAAATTAAAGTTCATAACCGCAAGTCAGATTGATTCAAATGGAAGAAGTTCAAGTAACCTTATTCTAAAGTTGATCCACACATCCAACGCTTATGTGATTTCCTCGCAATGCTATTAGTTTGGAATTCTCGCTACTTTCATGGATGATTAAAGACAAGCTAAGAAGAACCGAAGAAGGGAGAGGAATCTCTCATCTTCAATTCTCAGTAAGGAGGACCCTAGTTTATAGAAGTCAGAGGAGACTTAGTCCAACTAAACACTCCTTAAAATCCAGTTTTTTTAATTTAGTTATTTAATCAAATCACTTAAATGGTTTTAAAATATCTCCCATCCTTTAAAGATATGGTTAACCCAGGTCCCACAACCTTGGGTTTCCAACAATGAGTTTCCACAGCCCAAAGTCCCTCAACTCCTATTAGCTCAACTTTTGAGCCCAACTCATTAATTAAATATTTTCAAAAATAGGCCCAAACAAATAATTTAATTACTTTAATTAATTATTTATTTCTCCAATAATAGATTCCAGTCTATCCAATGATTGGATAAAAGCCGTAATTGATATAAGCCTATCCAATTAAGTGTATGATCCATTTGGTTCATCAATTAGCTAGTAATAATTTAGTAGTTACTAAATAATTACTTTATTGATTAAACTTCTTTAATTAACTGCTATTTATTTAGTCCTTGATTAAATACAAGAGTGCTTACATTCTATGGTACACATTTAACAGCATACATGGATATCTTAAAATAGGTCAAGTATGTTATTTTAAAAATTCTATTTTAAAATTTAAAATTTTTAAATAATTTTCAAATCCAAATTTATTGAAATCCAATCAAATTATATCAATTTTAATGAGATTTCATGGGATTACAAATGCGTTTTCATATGATTAATTTAATCATTTTATTAATTTAAATTACTAAAAACAACAGCATAAGATTCTAATGCCATATTCTAAAGAAACAGCGCTTCACCTGTCACGTTTTTAATTATACTAGAAAATTACGCTTAAAAATTATATTACTATTACTTTATCGTAAGCAATAAACCTATGGGCCGCAGCAAATTTTTTAAAAAACAGAAATGATAAAACAAAATTGCAAAATAAAAAAAAAAAAATAAACTTTTTTTTATTAATTATAAAAATTACATTAAAAACATTTTTATTTTCCTGGGCGAGATTGGTTTTCTTAATTCACCCGTAAAGGAGTGGATTTGAGTACGCAAATAAATGAGGTGCATATACATGCAAAGATAAGGATTTGGTTGGTGGGATTTTTGGTTTTTTAATTTCAAAAGAAAAAATTTTAACTATTTATAACGATTGAGTTTTTAGAAAAATGTCATGCTGTTTTTATATGATTATCCAAAAAAATATGAAAATGTATTTGGAATCGGAATTCCCTGAATTTTAAATCTAAATATATTATAGTGTTTGGTCAAAAATAAAATTTAATATTTATAAATTTCATTTGGTGCTTAGAAAGAAATATAATTTGAAATTAAAAATAAGATTTTTACTATTATACCCTTTTTTCTTAATATATTAGATCCAAATCTCATTTTATAACAAATAAATTAATCTTATTACTTCTAACAAAAAAATTTATTCTCCTTGAAAATAAGAGTAGCAGAATCTATATGATTAAATAGCTTCAAATCCAAGATGCATTAAAAATGTCCAAACATAATCAAATAATTATTAAAATCCAAATCAATTTTGATGGCATTTAATCGAGTTTCAACATATTAAGTGAAATTTTATCAAATCATAAAATCCAAGTTCTAATATTTAAATTTTTTATCCAAACAATTAAAGTGGGATTTTCAAATCCAAATATCACCAAATTCCATCAAATGTTATGTTACAAAACATAGGGTCAATGATTTGCTTGGGGGGATATTTTTTTAATTTTAAAGGAAAAAAGATTAAATCTTTGTAACTATTAATTTGTTCAAAAAAAGTTAAACTTTTTTATATGCAAAAACCATATATAAAAATGCAACTTTAATTTATTTTCTTTCTTTATACCATACTCCCTAACTCTATTATATGTTATTAGACCAAAATTTCAACTACTAAATGAGCAAAGGATTTTCTCTCTTCGCGTCATTTTCTTTCCAAAGATTTACAATTTCTCTTTCCAACAATAATGCATGAAATATTATTATTTCTAGAGAGTTCCAAAACACAACAGTCATAACGGCCCAGACAATCCTTTACAACTGTACATATGAAACTTTTACGAAATTCATTGCTATCCTTTATCTTCTCGTTTCAAGATATTGCTTTTTATTAACTTTTACATAAATTTCGGATCTGCCATCCTTATCAAATAAAAATCCAGCCAAGAAAAAAATGAAACTCCACCAACCATGTGATTGAGAAAGATTATATAAGTTCAAACTGCCGCCTATGTGATTAAAACTTTACCTCTGGACAACAAAATTGTCATCCTCTCGTGGCATGGATACAACAAAAGTTTCAGAAACTATCACAGAAGGTGAAGAAGGGATGAGCAAGAAGTACAAGGAGTTGGTGTTGTCTCTTCCATGCGCTAAATTTTGGGATCATATCCTCTACAAATATCAAGGTTATTGGATGCCATCCAGACAGTTGAACGGTATAATCTCCTTCCAAAAATACTTCAAAGCTCAAAATTCCGATATCATTTTATGCACTTTTCCAAAATCTGGCACTACATGGTTGAAAGCTCTTGTGTATACTACTCTTAACCGTTCTCACTGTGCCCCCAATAGTGCCACTCACCCTCTCCTCGCATGTAATCCTCACAATCTTGTTCCTTACTTTGAGATGCAAATTTATGGTGATGAAAATGAAAATCCTAATCTAGAAAACCTACCTAATCCAAGAATTTTCGCTACTCATCTTCCATTCTCACTATTGCCACCAAGCATCTCATATTCCAATTGCCGCATTGTATATATATGTCGAAATCCTTTGGATCAACTTATCTCCTATTGGTATTTTTTTACAAGTCCAAGTCCAAACTACAACGAGACAAATTCTATTGAAGAGCTAGTCAAGATGTTTGAAGAAGGAATATGTATGTATGGGCCATTTTGGGACCATGTTTTAGAGTATTGGAATAAGAGCATTGAGAGAAAAGATAGGATTTTGTTTCTTTATTATGAAGATTTGAAAGAAGATATTATAAGTCAATCTATTAGGCTAGCAGATTTCCTGGGATTACCATTTTCTGAGGAAGAAAAAGACAAAGGAGTGATAGAAGATATATCAAGGTTATGTAGCTTTAGAAATTTGAAAGAATTGGAGGTGAACAAAAGTGAAGACCTTTGGCCAGGAGTACCAAACAATATATTTTTCAGGAAAGGGGAGGTGGGAGACTGGGTTAATCATCTAAGCCCAGCAATGGTAGAAAAAATAAAGAAGCTTGTGGAAGAAAAATTCAAGGATTCTGGAATTACTTTTAAAATGACTTCGGATGTGAAGATGGATTAGTAATAGTAAATTAGATCTTTGGTAGTTGTATTTCTTTCAAGAAATGCCTCATGGCCTTCATCGTTGCTGTTAATATTATTATAAGTATTGTTGTTATTGTTACTATTTTAATGAGAATTTAAGGATTTCAATTATTTGAAAATAACTGCTTTCATTTAATGTTATATATTCACATTACTACATATGGCTATATATTAAAAATCTTATGCTATTTTTGAAAATGAATAATGCATGCATTTTACATTTTTCTTGAGGTGACGAAGGTACTAATGCAAAAGCAATTGTAGAAAATGTGTGAACGCAAATATATGTTTACTTATACAAATTTGATATGTTTGCAATTGACAATATGTTGTGTGTGTTGCATGTGCACAATTTTAATTGTTGTTCTTTCCCTTCTTGTCATGTCCCAAGAATTAGATCCAGAACTGGCATTAAGATTAGAATGGATTTCAATCTTGTAAGTCTAATAGATAACTCAGAATTAACAGAACCAAAATCTCATGTAAGTAAAATCAGAAAAAAAAAATTAATTCAAATCTTAAATAAACTATCAATACATCAGTAGATAGTCTATCTGTAGTCAAATTAAGCTAAGTAAGAACCTAGGAGTACAAAATCTAACAAAAAACTTAGATAACTAACTTTTATGATTAGGAAAGAAAAATAGCAAGAGTAACATACTCTTCTCAAATACCAAGATCCAACGGAATATGAAACTCTGAATTTGAAAAATAATAAATAGTGAATAATAACACACATCTATTTGAACAAGAGACATGTATAATAGATATAATAGATAACTTTACAAAAAATAAAATTCAATAGTTATTTAGAATTTAGGGAGTTCATAATCTAGAAAGTATCATAAATCAGAAATCCAGACAGTGACCACTTAATCTATCGATATATAGATATACAAGTATTTCATATTGACTCGATAAGGTAGTTCAGCACCATCGCTTAACATAATAGTCTAGCAGCACCCCTGCTAGCTGACAATACAGTTCAGAGTGCATTCGGTCTAATGCCTACTACTATTAGCTACAGTATTCTAACAATCCGAAACTCCCTTAAAACAATTTTCCAAAAAATAAATAAAAACATTTTAACAGAATTTTCCATTCACAAATAGAAATAGAATCGAATCTAAATAACAGATAGTTTTTCCATAATAATTTTAAAAATTACATACGTGTCCCTTGTGAAGTATTTATATTCAATTTTCAAAGCAAGTGCATCAAAATAATAATTCATATAAAAATTAGAATTTTAACATTTATATGAAAAATAGTAATACTCATAAATGTATATTTTTACTCGCAAAACCAATAGGAATCGAGTGATCCAATCTCTAATGATACATGGGTATCACGTGAATCGTACAAATAATCTAAAATCATAAAAATAATAAGATATCTTATTTTGAGTTTCTAATACATCTAAGAATCAAAGTAATATAATTCCTTAATTAAAACCCGATTAGAATTCTAGATTTTCATACTTAAACACATATTGGACTACTAAAGTCTTGATCCAATCAATTAAGTCATGAACCGAGTATTAAAGTCTTAAATCGGTCTCATAAAATATAAAATCAGTTTATTAAATCTCAAAATCACCAATTAAAGTGTTGAACCAGTCATGAACCAGTTATTAGAATGTTGAGCTGGACATGAACCAACTGGCCCTGAACCGGCTAGTATTGCACTAAACTAGCTTTATAACTCATTGAACCAGCTATGTATACACTGAATTAGTCTTATAACTCATTAAACCATCTATTTATACACTGAAAGAATCTTATTTATTAGAAAATCGGTATGAAATTCAATGAACCAAACATGAAATAGACTGAACCGGTCCAATATGTCACTGAACTAGTGATTAAAAGTAAACAGCCTCAGTAGACTAAATTTTTGGCTGATGGTGGTCAGAATTGCTAAGTGATGGTGGCACAATAGTGGTTGATTGCTTGGAGACAACCTCAATAGACTAAATTTTCGACCGAAACTTAATCAACAGTGGGGGGTAAGATCTAGAGGAATTTTGAAAATTGGAAACCAATTTGAAAAAATTGTTTTGGGCTTTTGTTTCCTTCGCTACTGTTGCACATTTATGTAGCCGAATTTCAAGCCAATCTCCTTTGATTTGCTCGGTTTTGATGGCTATGATCGCGTAACCCAAAGGTTGAAATCCAAATTTTGATTGTTCTCACTTTAGTCCCTGGTATTTTTGTTTATTTTTGTCCTACCCTTGGGAGTTTAAATTGATTCAATTGGGCCCCTAACCCTTTTAATTAAAAATTCTTAACTTTCTCTTTCTTTCAATTAATCCCTTTATATTTTTAATTTGCTTAATTAACCCCAAAATTAGGGGTATTACACTTCTTGTTTTCAAGTGGGATTTTTCTTCTTGTGGGCAATAGCAAAAGTTTTTTTTTCACCAACAAAAGTGTGTGGAGACGCCTTATCGTCCGCAGTTAATGGGGATGGTTCAAGCACGTAAAATATTTTTCTATTTTTCTCCATTTGCATTTGAGTACCATTAGTTGGTGGGCCTAGTTCATGGACTTGACAGTGACGTGTGCACAAGATGGTATCAAACATAGTCTTGTTTAGTGGATTAAATTTTATTTAACTTATCAAAGCACTTGGATAAAAATTCAAACCAGGCCGTTGGATTTGCTCGATGGTCGGACGAGATCAGAATCATTGGAGGTAGTTGGCCAAATCTCCATTTGCTTACGTGGGGCCCACAGCTATTTTTTTTTTCCCCGGGCGTAAAATGAGTGGAGGAGCCTTACCGTCCAAAGTGAACGGGGACCGTTCAGGCACGTTAAATTATGTTTGCTATCTGTCCACTTGCATTTGCAGCCATTTGATGGCCCATCTCCCTGGTCCACTGACTGCATGTTAATATTGTTATTGTTATTTTTTTTTAATCATTAAGAGAAAAACAAAGAAAAAAAATCAAATTTTAGTATGCACTATTTCAAGTGCATCTGCCAATAATAAGTTCGAGAGCCCCCAGAGGAGAGTGATGCCAAAGAATAACAATATCTTGAGCTCCAGCTCTAAGTTTTTCTGGGAAGTTGGTGCAACTATTTACTTTCTTAAAAGTATGAGTTATTTTTATATATCTCAACCTAACTGTATAAAGTAGTGGATATCACTTATAATAGTTCCGAACATATAGCATTTAGGTATGTTTACCACGTGAATAAGTCTTACTATTTCGAAGGAATCTGACTCACACTACACTCTTCTAATTTCAGAATGCCAAGCAAGAAAGAGTTCATGTTTCATGCCTAAGAGCTAAGTAAAATATCTACCCCCTTTTGAAATCTAAAAAGGCTAGTGATTCGATTGAAATAAACAATTCTGGGAATCTTATCACATATTATAATGTTGTTAGAATACTACTCAAAAAATAAATAAATAAATTATTTTAATTTATATATTAAAATTTGGAAAATTTTCTTTTTATTAAAAAAATTTATTTACGTATATTTTAAAAAATTTAATCATTTTTCTTCGTGTTACAGATTTAAGTGGTAATAAGCGAAAAGTAATTCTAAAACAAGAAAGGTTAGGACGGGATCAGTATCGCTGGAGCCAATTGGCCAAATCTCCATTTGCTTTTGTGGGGAGCATATCTAACTCGTTTTCTTCCCAGGAAAAATACGTGGCGCCCACAGCAGATGTGTCTTTCCCCCGGGAAAAATGAGTGGAGAGTTTTACCGTCCAAAGTTAATGGGGACCGTTCAAGGACGTAAAATATTTTATATTTTGTCCATTTGCATTTGCAGCCGTTCGATGGACCATCTCCTTTGTGTCCACCATGCCCACGTGTTGTTATAATGCTATGCTACGCCTTGTTGCGTTTACAGATACTTTTCAGCTTTTTCCTTTGTATGATAACTTTCCTCCGTGTCATTTTTCAAATTTGATCCGGTTTTCCAGTGTATAAAATATAATTCCCGCTAATAATATTAATAACTTCTGGCTAAAGAAAATTTATACTTTCAACTATCATAAACAAATTAAGAAATCTTTCTTATTTTTTAAAATATCATTTTGTTTCATAAAATTTGTTGTCCATCTTATTTATCCCTTAAATTATGCAATGTACCGGTTATGTCTTGAATAGTAATACTGTTAATTCGTCGTTATATTTATCTCCTGAATACTCAAATCTTAAATACTAATTTTTTAAGTATTCCAATTAAAATAGTTAATTATTAAATTTTTAAAAATTTAAGTGAATATGTCATATAGTTGATAAGAGATATTATTTAAATATATGTAATTTTAAAAATTAAATTAAGACATGGCTAATTTATTAAAATTAATTTAGATTATTTGCATTAGTTAACTAAATAATGAATAAATTTGAATTTAGTAAAAAAAATTTCAAGTAGCATATTTCCAAATCTAAACTGTTTGCATTGTCTAGTTATTATATAATAGTATCAAAAAACTAAATCTTATCATATATAAATAAGAATAATTGTTACAATTAGAATATAGTAGTTCACAACTGAGTGGATTAAATTTCTTTGTAAAAATTTATGTGACTATGATAAAAAAAATATTATAAACTATTGTAAAATCAATAAAAAAAAATCAAAATTAATAATTGATACTAAATATTCAAAATCTCATTACTGTGCTACTTTTATTTTATCATTTTTTATTTGATTTAATATTTTTCAGTGACAAATAAATAGTGTTAATATATAAAAGAATAAATAATATATTATATAATTTAAAGGGTAAATAAGATAGATAAAAAAAGTTTAAGGGAGATAAAATAATTTTTACTATTTCTTTCAATCTTAGACGGCCAACCACATGCTGTTTCCTTACCAAGCACACACATTGCTTGTTAGTGGATTTGGCTCTATCCGCGCCTGACCATCCAAGTGAGTTTACCTTGGGGATGCAAGTGGACGGGGTTATCTAGTGACCCCCCTTGGAGGTTTATTTACATGTCTG